GACAAGACCGTGACGGTAGGTACTGCATGGCACTTGGCCGCGACACCGATGCCGACGACGACAGCGACATCGACGACGACGGCGCCGCCGACAGCGACTGCGACGACACCGACGACATCTCCAATGTTTTCGACGACGAGACGCCGACGACGGACGACGACGACGAGGGAGGAGGATAACGACGAGGGAGGAGTGAAGATCACGACGACGACGACGACGACGACGGCGACGAAATAGGAGGGACAACGACGAGACGCCGACGAAGACAACGAGGGAGGAAGGACGACCACGGCGACAACGACGACGGAAACGACGACGACGTCAAGACGACGACAACGACGACGAGGAAAGACAGAAGACGACGACGGCGACGACGACGACGACGACGACGACGAGGGAGGAGGGAGGACGACGACGACGACGACGCAAGAGCGCGCGCGCACAATTTTGTTGAAAACCCGTGTTGCGAAACCTTGTGTTTTTGTTGGTTTTTTGGACGCACGATTTCGAAATCCTTCCGAAACCGAAGGCTTTTGAAGGATTTCGGCATACGCCCGCGACGACGCGCGCGTCTGCACTTCGTTTCATTTTTTGCAGAGGATTCTCGCGACGGCACACGCGCAAGGGCGTTCGACAGATTTCGACATGCGCGCGCGAAGCCCGTTTGGTAGCATTTTGTGAAAATCTTGGAACACCAATGGTTTTCTTAAGATTTCGCAAGAGCTCGCGCGTAAGTTTTTTTAGCAAATCAGTGTTGCGAAACCATGTGTTTTTACATGTTTTTTGGAAATTCAATTTTGAAATCTCTCCGGAACCGAAGGTTTTTGAAGGATTTCGGCATGCGCGCGCCACGACGCGCGCGTGTGCACTTCGTCCCATTTTTTGCAAGGGATTCGTGAAAAAGTGCTATGTTAGAACAAAACATGTCACCGCATAGTGTTTTTTACAAGTGAACCGAGGGGGGGGGAACCCGGCTTGGCTGGAATGGCACGAATTCATATTTAGGATGGACATGTGGTCAGAATCATCTGTGATTTACAGCACGCGCGGGGGACCCGATAAGTCCGGGGGGGGGTAGAATCTATTAGTCTTTTAGAAAGGAGAATCAATGCAGGTCACCCACAGTTGAGATCCTAGTGTAAGGTCGCTGCACAAGGAATCCTTATGTAAAGGCTGCTACACAAGGGTTTTAAGTGTGGAGCGTCTGCACCAACAGAGTACCGACAATGCCAGGTCTGCCCAGCTTTCTCTGATTTTGGCATATGAAACATCAGGTGTTTCATGCTTGTCCTGTTTTTCTTGATTTCCTCTTTAGGTTTCCTGGGATCACGGTGCCGCCACTGCAGATCCCCCCACAATGAACACCCTTTCGTAAGGCCGCCACCAAACACAGACTCCCTTTATAAGGGCTGCTACACAAGGGCTCTCACTGTGGAGGCCACTGCATATACCCTCAGTTGAAATCCTTGTGTAAGGTAGCTACACAAGAAATCCTTTTGTAAAGGCTGCTGCACAAGGATTTTAAATGTGGAGCGTCTGCACCATCAGAGTACCGACAGTCACAGGTATTCCTAGTTTGTTCCCATTGTTTACGTGAAAACATAATGTTTCATGTTTTTTGTCCTGCCGTGATGCTGCTGCTGATGATGATGACGATGATGCTGATGATGATGATGATGATGATGGTGATGTTGTTGATGATGATGCTGATGATGACGATGATGATGATGATGATGGTGATGCTGATGATGTTGATGATGATGTTGGTGGCGATGATGATGTTGATGATGATGATGATGATGATGATGATGATGATGAGGATGCTGATGAGGATGCTGCTGCTGCTGATGATGATGATGATGCTGAGGATGCTGCTGCTGATGATGATGATGATGAGGAGGAGGAGGAGGAGGAGGAGGAGGAGGAGGATGCGCACATTGTGAGACAGGAAGGCCCCGTCAGCGTTCCCCTCTCGGGCCTTCCTGGGCCCTCCTAGGCCGAGGGGCGCTCGGCGCCTTCCCTGCCGACCCCCGCCTCGGGCGAGTGGGGTGGGGCGCGGAGGTTTGGAGCGAAGATCGAAACCTTGGGCGTGCCCGAGTGGATGGTCGCGGATTTCTGGGCCATCGATCGAGCTGAGCTTAAAGGGGCAATGGGGCTCCTCAGGCACGCGAGTTGGGTCCTTAGTGGTGGCTGACTCTGCGTATCTTATTCGCGTGTACCTCAAGGGGCCGTGTGTAGAGATGTCTTCAAATCGTGGGCCTTGGATCGAGAATTGGAGAGTCTTGGGCCCGCGGGCAGGCCAGGTTCGATACCTCAAGGTCAGGTCACGTGCCGCGGGCGCTGATGCGCGGGCCCGTTGGCCAGCCTGGGTTCCCCATGTAAGTGGCGCGACCCACGAATTAGCAGGCGAGACCGCCGGCCGAGCCGCCGCCTCCCCAGGGGGTTGTGCAGCGAGTGCTGGCCCTGGACACCCTTGCTGAGCAGGTGCGTGGGAGGCTGGCAGCCTTGCGGATGATGCGGTGGGCTCATTTTCCCGCCCACGAAGCTCCCGCCGAGGGCGAGAGGGCTCTGCGGCGGGAGCGCAGCGAGAAGGCTTTCCATCATCTTTTAACTTCGACCTCCCACTGGCCAGATATTCCAGGCAATCAGGTTGTCTGCCCCGGGTGCCAGAAGAAGACCCACATGATGTCCGCGGCGCGATTGCTTCGTTCTCTGCGTTCGGCCCCTCCTTCTCGGCTACCCGGGCTTCCGAGGGAGTCTCGCGGTCAGTGGAGGTCATTAGCGCGGAAGACGGAGACCCAGCCATCCAACCCAGACACCGATACCTTCTTTAGGTCTTCCGTGGGGTCTTCTGGCGTGGACAGTTCAGGTGCTGGCGGGTCCGGGCCTCCCAGAAATTCAAGGAAACCCGTGCCCCCCTCGGAACATCAGATTGGCGGGCACAAGGCCATTTTGACTCTCACCAGGGAGCATCTTCCCCCAGGCCTCAAATAATGGCCCCATGGAGGCTCTTGCGTCCCAGTAGTGCCCCTAGCGTGCAGGGGTTGAGACTGTCCTGTGGGGCGCGCGCGGGGGAGGAGGAGCAGGAGGAGGAGGAAGAGGAGGATGTGGTGGCCAGCACCAGGCACTACTGGTCGCGTGACCCTGTACTGGTCTACTGCGGGCAGTCTCCGTAAGGGATGAGCAGCAAGTGGGCATGATGAGAAGAAGGATGAGCAACCGATGTTACCTTCGGCGGGCGAATCTGATGGCGCGATGAAGCTGATGGTGCTAATCGTGCTGACGATAGTGATGATTATGGTGATGATGATTATGATGATGATGCTGATGATGATGACGATGATGGTGATGATGCTGATGAAGCCGATGATGATGATTAACGATGGAGATGGAGATGATGACGATGATGCTGATCCATTACTTCTGGATGTTCGTCCGATTCTCGATCCCTTTCAGTGCATATTGTTTTCTCTGTCCAAGTGTGCCCATCGACGCTCGCAATCCTGTTGTTGGTCGAGCACGACCATCCTGTTCAAATTGTGCCCTTGGGCTCCGAAACAGTTCGTTTGTCATTGTTCGCGTGTCATTCAAATGGTATTCCCCGAACCCTCGACGTTTGGCCCCTTCGTCTATGAGCGTGCCCATTTTTCGGGGCGCGTTTGCTATGTGAGCTATTGGGTAAACCCCGACTGGGTAAGAGGTTGGCCGGGCGGGCGGACCTAACTGGCGGGATACTTCGGGGTGGCTGGTTTTCCAAGCGAGCGAACGGGCGGTCCGCGGGTCGGGCTGGTGGGCTGCCATAGCGGTCAGTCAGGCGGGTCGGACGGGCGGGATATTTTCACACGGGGTGGCGGGCTCCCGAGGAAAAGAACGTGCGGACCTAACAGCCAGGCTGGGCGGGCGGACCCTAGTGGGCGGGTCGGGCGGGTGGGACATTCAAACGGGCGGGCGGGCTTCCAAGTAAACGACAAGGTGGACCCAACGGGCTGGCCAGGCGGGCGGATCGGGCGGGCGGGCCTTGACGAGCGGGCGGGCGGGCGGATCCTACAGACCAGGCCGGCCAGGCGGCACATGAATGCGCGAATTTGGGGCACATCGTGGGGAAATCCTAGGCGAGAGCGGGAGTTTTCTACCGCAGCGCCCCGCAATTGCAGATAAAAGTGAGGGGGCGGGCGCGGGGTGGGTCGCGTGTGGGTCGCGGGCGGGTCAGGGGCGAGGACGACGACAACGCAACAACAATACAACAAGCAGAAACTGCTTGTCGGAACGCCACTTCTGCCACGCACCCAGGGACAATGAATGACCTTCCGGCTCCGTCGCTCTGATAAGATGGGTGGACATTCTTCGACGGAAGTGTATTTCCTGATCGATGAGAGCGCGGTTCCTGAGCGGTGAGAGGCGATGCTCACACACAGTCTGATGCCGTCCCAGGCGAGAGCGCGATTCTTGAGTAAAGAACATGGACGTCTCGATCGAGACGGCGATTCCTGAATACACTGAAAGGCAATATCGGGCGTCCCGGGGGCCCAGGAAACCCCTTTGAGCCGGAATATTCATTGTGATACAAAACTTGGTGCGAGAGCCGAGGGGGCGTCTCAAATGGAGAAAACAGCACAATTACAATGCTCACCAGACAGATGTGATCAATGATACTTCCATGTTTTCATAAACATGTGGACTCAACGGACGGTTCCCGCCTAACGACATTCAGTTATTCACGCAGGAATCGCGCTCTCGCCCGAGATTTCCCCACCATGTACCGAGTCGGAAATCGCGCTCTCGCCTGAGGATTCCCCCGCAACCCATTTCGGGAATCGAGCCCTCGCCGCCCAGGAATCGTGCTCGCTCCCGAGCCTTCCTTCAAAGTGACTCGCTGATGGTCTCTCCACAACGTACTAACGTACTCGGCAACTGCGCTCTCGCAGTTCTGGGGCAGCGCACAAGCGTCTCTGGACTTCGCACCCTCGATCCTCGCCCCGCGCCCCGCCGCGGCGCCACAGGACTACAGGTGACCAGGCTCCCCCCCCTCGCGGAGCGGGCCGCCCGGCTCGAGCGGGCTGCTGCCGTCGCTTGTCTGCCTCGGCTGCTGGCGCGGGCGCGGGCGCGCCCACGCGGGCGCCAGGGCGCGTGGACGGGGCAGGCCGGCCACGACTTGGGGAACTGAGGCCCTTGCCCCCCTGTTGGGCCCACCGTGTTCGAGTCGCCAGGACGACGTGACTATGCACCAACCCAGGGCCCAGGATGGCCCTGGCCAGGCACGTGCGTAGCTGTCGGGGAGCTGTGGCCCTTGTCCCAGCGGTGCCCAATGCGACAAAATCCCCAGAGCGGGGTACGGAACACGGCTTCCCCGCAGTTGTGGCTGGTCGGCACGGACCGGCTCGGCGGACGCCTTTTTTCATGAAGGTCCTTGCGCTATGGGCCTTGGGGCCTTTTCAAGAGTGACACTTTTCGCCCTCCAAGGCTGCGGCCGCCAGGCGATGCGGCGCGATGCTAGAATCGAGAATGCAGAAGTAAGAGGAATTGCACATTAGTGAAAACACCTACGGCGAGTCACCGCCGACCCTTACATTTTGGAACAACCTGTGTCGTGAAATGTCGACAGAATGTGTTGCCACGCCAGTGGACTGCGTGTTCCCCCAGCCGTTGCCCGTAGGGAAACCACTTGGAGAACACTGGGTAGGAAAGCCTTCTGAGGCATGTGGAGCTGTCTTGTGGCTCTTTTAAGCCTTTTGAGCCTCTCGGAAGCCTCCAGGGCCGCTCTGGGGCTAGTTTTTGGCTCTCAGGGGACTTCTTGTGGTGCTCTGGTGACATATGGCGCCTTCCCAGGCCATCTTGGTTTGGCCGTCTTGGGGCCCTCTTGGGGCCGTCTTGGGTTGGCCGCTTAGCGCGTCCCGAAGGAGGACGAGGAGGAGGAGGAGGAGGAGGAGGAGGAGGAGGAGGAGCAGGACCAGGAGGACCAGGAGGACCAGGAGGAGGAGGACGCGGCAACGCCCAGGCGAGATGGACGATGCAGGGGAGAGCAGGTGATGTGCTCTCACATGTTGAGGATGCCCAGCATGTTGGGCACCACAACGCAGCCGACCACAAGGCTCGGCGAGCCTTGGCGTGCGCATCGGCGGTATCGGGTATCCTGAAGCTCTTCATAAATATGGATCGCGTCAGCGCTATCATTGCGACATGGCCCCTGCGATTGGCGTGCCAGGCATAACGGACGAGATGAGGAATCTGCGCCTCGCGGCGTGACTCGTTCTAGCGGATACTGTGCTGGACGCGGTCCCTTTTCTGTTCAATTCTAGACGCTTCGCGTATCGCCACGTTTTTTGGCCCGCGCCCCAGACCCCTTTCTCGGCGACAGCTTCACGCGTCTGCCCGCGACCAATAAAAAAATCCCCACGCTTCTGTTCAATTCTAGACTCTCTCTCCCTCCACTAATGACGCCATTCAGGGAAGAGAAGGGGACATCGTCATCTACTCTACCACGCGCTCCAACGGGTCTTACGACGGGGGTTTCTTCAATACGTCAAACAGGACCAACGTTGCCCTGACCAGAGCTAAGCGGTTCGTGGTCTTCATTGGTGACCGGCGAATGTTCAAGGCTGCGACCGAGTTTGCTCTTCGTACTCTTGCTGAATACGGAATGGCCGCAGACCTCCGGGTGAGACCTGCCTCCACTGAGCCTTGGCAAGTGCGCAACAGGGGATGGAAGCCCTTTAACCCACTGGCACACTTGGATGCAACTGCTGAAACCGGTACCGCCATACCGGGCAGCAGCCCAATCGCAACAACACCGCGCGCTGCATCCAGCATCCAGAAGCAGAAGGTCAAACTGCGAGGGGATCAGGCCAAATGTTTCGACTGCAGCATCGACAGAACGCAGCCGAAAGGGTTTGAGTGGGGAGCCCTGGCAAAACAGCTCAACAACTCGCTAAGGGCTCTCCTGGCCGCACCCGCTCTCTTTCCGATCCCCTCCTTGTTTCTGGCCTTCACTCGCACGCCATGAGCCCCGCACAACATCCCAACGGTCCCAATCTGCACGACAGGAAGATGTGGAGCCACACAAGGTGCATTTACGATGTTACGGTCGGAGCTGATGCCGGCAACCTGACATGCAACATTTTCTGGGCGTGCCTTATGCGTGCAGTCGGGCTTGGCCCTCGCTCGCGGTGGCCAACCTGCCTGAAAGACCAAAAGGCTGCTTGCAGAAACGCGCATCCAAAGACTGTCGGAGCTCGCCGGCTGGCATGGACAAACATCCACCCACGGTGTGGAGTGTCGAGACGACACATTGTCCAATGCACCAACTGCATCCAGGGATGGACGGCCTGGAAGACATCATCCAAGGCGACTACATGCCAACTGACCCCACCGCACGTGCTCAGACCTGCACGGCAGTTGTGACGATGATGCTAGCGCTTTGGGAACCAAGGACCTGTCTCTTCCCATTCTCCGAACAAGAAGGGGCAGGGGATATCGTGGAGCCCGTCCTGGGCACGCGCGAACCTGGCAGCTCAACTGGCACCGCGTCCGTGGCAACATACCTTCACTTCCGGACGCAGTTTGGCCTGACATGGAATATGTCCAATCACGACTACCAGAACCTGCATCGGAGATCCACTGACGCCCCAAGACACGTGGGCTTGCTCATAAGTACCAGCCACCATTGCGATGTCTCGAAGCAGGCAGGATGTCCGTCAACGTGGGGAAAACGCAAGCGTTCTGACTTTCACAGCACAGGGATCTTGCTGGTGATCGACCAGCGGATTGAACCGCTCCAGTTACCGCTGGCCCCTACCAACGACCAGCCTGACAACGAGACAACCAGTTGCACCATCTGCTGGCTCTACAACTCCACCACAGGGAATCACAGGCATCCTGGGCGCACCCCGGACCAGAGGCTGCGCCGTGCTGGCACGGGGCGAGCGATGGACCAACAGGACCTTCTCAGACCTGAACCTCCCGCAGCAAAACTGGGCGCCACAACGACACCGAAAAGGCCCCGAACAGGAGACCGACGATTCTCGGCGTCGCAGAACGCTGCCAGCTTCTACTGCGACGACTGTCGGAGAGGCCCCTTCCACGGACATTGAGGGCACCTGGGCGGACAGCGATGTGCGTCAAATTCTGGCAGCGGCGAGGATTGCAGGGTGGCGCGAGGGACTCAACTGCCGTCGGCTGTGCATTGGGCGCTGTGTGGAGAGCCTCGAGAAGCATGATGCTGACGCCCCAGCCGGAGACGCGATGCGCGAAAAGCTGGCCAACCTACGGAATAGCGTGCCCCGCGGGCCCGCTGCTGTCAGCCTGGCACCGCCTGTGCACCCCCCGACCAGGCTGGCCAAAATCGCAAGCCCAGCCGCCGACTGCCTGCTACGCGACCTCTTTCTCACACCGGACTCAGCCAACGACCCCGAGGTGACAGGCGCGCCGAATCCCCCAGCCCGACCTGGCGACGACCTCTTCGGCGCAGAGAGACTCGGGCCTGAACTCCACAGTGCTGCGCGCGACGGCTGCCCAGAGCCCGAGCTGCTATGCACATGGAAACGCGGCAGCCAGCGGTCGGGCGCTTCGTCTGGCGACCGACTCCTGGCATGGAGGACAGATCAGTGCAACCTACCTTCCTGGGGCGACTGGATCGACTGCTGGACGAGTGGCGATTGGAACGCTGGATGGCACCGCGGGAACTGTCTTGCTCACATTTTTGACGTTCATCCACCTGTCATAAATTGCATCCTTGCGCGCGACGCGCCATCGATGTATCCAGTCCCCCCCGCGGCGCGGGCGTTCAGGGGGAGGAGAGAGGGCGCGGGTGGCCTCGCCCTCGCACTCGGCAAAGAAAGAGCGAAGGCACCCCGCGGCGACGACGACGACGATTGCGGGTCGCCATCGGGGACGCCGCCGCTACCCGACCCCAATCCAGAACGAGTGGGCGCAATCAAGAAAATGTTCCCGGACACGGGGATCCCGCAGCTGCCGGGCGCGGCCAGCGTCGGACTCAACCTGTTCTTCCAAGCGTGGGCCGACGACAACTGCGGCACGCCAGAACATGCGCCAGTTCAAATATGCTTGGACCTCAGACGCATCAACTCCGTTGCCAACGACATCTTCTACGTGCTGCAAAACCAGTACGAAATGGCAGACAACGGGTTGGGCGTCAACTGCCTCAACGTTCTGGCCTGCCCCACCTTGGCCTGGGCGTTTCTTCCGCCGGGGCTCGCCGCCGACGGACTGGTGCCAGGCGCGGCGTGGGATGGCAAAAGATGGTCCGCTGGACTGGTCGTGCAACACATCACCGGGAAGGGCGATCGGCTAGAGAAACTGCGGGTGGCACGCGTCAATGAAACCATCCACGGGGGCAAAGACCCTAGGGCCCATGGCACGGGCGAGCTTGCTCGCTGGCTGGCCAGACTTGACATTGAGGACGCCCCCGACCACGTCATGCTTCTGGTCTGCGTTAACTTGGGAATGCTGGAAACATGCGCGCGCCCGCGTGGGATTGGACCTCGGCCAATCGTCCCAAGCCGTGCCGCAGCAACAGACAGCGTGTCTTTTCAGCAGTTCATGGGGCGAATGGCCAGGCTGGCTGATAACGCCAAGGAAAACATGTCGGCCCTGTGCGACCCGGGCTCCTCGCGACTACGCGATGAGGAGAAGAATCTGAACCCTGGGCCAGCTTGGTCATGGGCGCCTCTCTTGGGAGGCATCTTTTCCCTGCCCACCCTGGCGCGGATTTGCGCGGGCAGCCGCTGCCCCGACATGAAGGTCCACGAAAGGCGACAGGCAAGATCAGGGGCAGCTCAGGAAGCGAGCCTGCTGCCGCCGCAGATGAGCTCGGGGGCCCGGGCGGCGATGTCCTGGATTGCGACCCGGGCAAGGCCAGCGAGGGGCCTGAAGCGGGCGAGGCAGAAGGGCCTGACGGAAACCGAGCTACAGGAGAGGGCCGCAACACCAGGATTGCCAACGATGAATCGTCAAGCGCCACAGACGATGAACGACCCCCCGCGGCCGAGGAGGCGAG